TCTTACGTAGTTGGCGCTGCACACATATTGCAATGTTGTTTATTTTCCCATTAAGTATTTAGCTCATGCCTGACATTAGGGTGAAAACTTCACTTGGTCTCTGCAGGTGGTGCATGTTGACACCTTTCAAATAAAATAGGTTGTCTTTTATGGTTTAAAAAAGCTTTTAATACTGATCAATCCCGTTGGAAGTCCTGGTGCAGACTATTTTTATATATGTGCAACTATCATTATCTAAACAAAAAAAAGCTTGCTTACTTTGAGCCAGACTAACATCCTCCTGTCAAAAGTTCTGGCGAGAATTCCCTCACCTTCATATGCATGTGCATATGTGTGCCTGCATGTATACAATGTGCCTCTTTGATGGCCAAGGGATTCTACTTTGCCTACCAGATAGCTTAAGGCATAGCTTCTGTCTGTTTTACCTCAAACTTTTGAAGCACCTTTTTATTTATTATTTGTATTCCTCTAACTTTGTCCTGAACCTTTTCATGCAGGTTGGTTGGGATGAGTCCACAGCAGGTGAGAGGCAGCCAAGGGTGTCATTATGGGAGATTGAGCCTTTAACAACTTTCCCCATGTATCCATCACTATTTCCCCTCCGACTGAAACGGCCTTGGCATCCTGAGTCCTCATCTTTGCTTGGTACATTCTCTTTATTTAAGGACATGTTTGATGCCTTTCCTTAATAAAGCTAGTAGGATTTTAGTTTATATCAAGGACCTGAACTTAACAAAGTCTTCTTTTTAGGGATATGAATTGATAATTGAATAAGAGGGGAAGAAGATTGACTATTCTCGTAGGTTAGAGAATATTTGGAAAAACTTTAGATGCAAGGGAAAAAATTAATAGCATACTTTCCCTCATCTCCATCAAAGTTATTATTAAATGGCCTTCTGAAGTAATTGCTGATAATGAATCTACATGTGCTGGCCAACTGTGGCTTGCAATAGTCGGAGCTGGGAGTTGTAGTGGTTGTCTTTATGCATGATAGTTGAGCAGTTGGAGTGACTGGGGATCTGTAAGAATAAAACAGCAGAACAAGAAAATATTAATATAATGGCTAATATTTGAAGGAAAGCTGGAACAAGTGATTTAGGTTTAAAATTTACATGACTAATAGGGAATCCAAATAACACAAGGATTGCTTAACTAAATAAAAAAACTGAAAATAGTAAGGATAGCTAAATGAACAGCTTCTGCTTCATAAATTCAATAGTATTCTCAATAGGTGGATTTTTGGGATGCACGAGTGTATGATCTGGATAGCCAACATGTAGCAGTCGTGCCACATGTGGTAGAAGGTGTGTTTGAAGGAGATAGAGGAATAAAAGGAGGATCCCAGGTTATGCTTGTGTAACTGTGGTGCTTTCACCATCCCAGATCAGAAGTGTACTGTGTATTTTCAAATTTGAAAATCTGTTCTTTTGCTTCTGTGAGGAGGGGTTTCATGACAATCATATTTATCAATTCTTCTGTCAATGTGTTCAATGCTCTCATTAGAAGTTCTTGAAAAACAATTCCTCTTACTGGAAAAAGTGACGTGCATGCTTGTTTGAGAGTACTAGTTTTGCTTAGGAGTTCTAATAGTCTACTTGAAAAAAATTACAAGAAATCCTTTTCGGAATGGTAAAATCAATGATTGTCAAAAATGAATTTACTTTGAGGCTGATTCTCAAGGACAAGGAATGCGTTTTCTGCATATCCCACTTTTGTTGAGCTTGAATTTCTATATGTTACACTGTAGCTAGTCTAAAGTTATAGATTGCACGGCTAATGTGTATAAACAGCTGTAATTGGAATAGTAGAACTGAAACTGCTCATATTGGATAATTTTTGTGTAGCATGGTCTTCACTCCAAGGTCTTGTGTGGGTCTAAAATCGACAGCTTGCAATTTTCTGCCCTTGTGTATGTCTAAAGTTGACCTCTGTGTATGTGTCTGTTTCTGTCTGTCTGTCTTCCCTCTTTCTTTCAATCGTATGCGCGGATGTGTGCGTTAACCTCTTCATTTTCAGATAGCAGAGATGAAGCAAGTAATGGCTTGATATGGCTAAGGGGTGGAAGTGGAGAACAAGGTCATCCATCTCTGAATTTTCAAGCTAATATGCTCCCCTGGATGCAGCAGAGGCTAGATCCAATGATGCTGGGAAATGATCATAATCAGCGGTACCAGGCCATGTTGGCAGCTGGTATGCCAAACCTGGGAGGTGGAGATCTCTTGAGGCAGCAATTTATGCAGCTTCAGCAGCCTTTTCAATACTCTCAACAGTCTAGCAGCCCTAATCCACTGTTGCAGCTGCAACAGCAACATCAAGCAATGCAACAATCAATCCCTCATAATATTCTGCAACCGCAAAACCAAATTTCTTCTGACAGCTTGCCCCGTCACCTCCTACAGCAGCAACTCAACAATCAGCCAGATGATCAGGCTCAGCAACACCAACATGCCTATCATGATGGACTGCAGATTCAAACTGATCTACTCCAGAGACAACAGTCAAATTTGCCTTCTCCATCATTTTCAAAAACAGAATACATGGACTCAAGCCCGAAGTTCACAGTATCTACCACCCCAATGCAAAACATGCTAGGTTCTCTGTGTACTGAAGGGAGCGGTAATCTTTTGGACTTCACCAGAGCTGGTCAGTCTACTCTAACTGAACAGTTACCCCAACAGTCCTGGGTCCCAAAGTATGCACATCATGATGTCAATGCTTTTTCTAATTCATTGTCTCTCCCACGAACGTACCCTGAGAAAGATCTTTCAGTGGAAGCAGAAAACTGTAATTCTGATGCCCAGAATCCTACTTTCTTTGGACTCCTGCTACCTACCACGGTGCCCAGATACCCTACTTCAACAGTTGATACTGATGTCTCCTCAATGCCATTAGGGGATTCTGGGTTTCAGAATTCTCTGTATGGTTGTGTGCAAGACTCTTCTGAGTTATTGCCAAATGCAGGACAAATGGACCCACCAACCTCAAGTCGAACATTTGTCAAGGTACAAGCCACCAGTAATTTGCTTCTGTCTTGTCACCACTCCAGGTTGTTCCAAGGAATGAGTAATTTATCCTTATTTTTGTTTTAGGTCTACAAATCAGGATCGGTTGGGCGCTCATTGGACATATCCCGGTTCAGCAGCTATCATGAGCTGCGAGAAGAACTGGCTCAGATGTTTGGAATTGAGGGGAAATTGGAAAACCCTCATAGATCAGGCTGGCAGCTTGTATTTGTTGACAGGGAGAATGATGTACTTCTCCTTGGAGATGATCCCTGGGAGTAAGTACTCAAGTCTCCTTTTCCAGCTTCTTTGAGAACTCTCATATTTCAGCCAGCTTTCAGCCTAATACTGTTTTTGTCGTCCCCATCTGCAGGTTATTTGTGAACAATGTTTGGTATATAAAGATACTTTCTCCAGAGGACGTTTTAAAAATGGGAGAGCAGGGTTTTGAATCCTCTGGCCCAAATGCTGTCAAAGGATGAGTGGCAGCGTGGCTTGAGAAATGGCCACTGGCTTGCCAAAACTGAGTGATGTAAACCATATGGCATTCTTCCTTCCACGGAGTTCATCAAATCCTCACACCCTGGAGTTAAAGATGAGCTTACACGGGATCCCATCTCCTCAAACATGTGCATCTCTCCCTGTTTCTTTGTATGTCTCAAGTTATATTATATAGTACTCCTACATATTTTGCTTAGACTAGCTAGTTATTCTGAAGAATTGACTTTTATCATGGATTAGATACTTGTAAGTTCATTAGTGAGCCTAAAGAATTAGAATCTGGCAGAATGGTTCTAGGTATGTAAACTTGTACGAGCAATCATGCCATTCATGTTATTAAAATACCTTACTGTTTTTGCTGTTTTATGGTTATTATTCAATCTAGTGTGACAAACAACTGCATACCAGTGTCCAAGTTAGTTAATTTATGTGAACATGCAAAGGTACACCATGCTTTCAGTTAGTGACCTGATTATCCGAAAACATGTTTGTAGGGAATATCTTTGAGAAATGTTTTCAAACTAGTTACGTGGTAGATTCGCTGGTTCACTGATCATTGATGTTTCAGCTGATACAATTATCTTTAAACCGATTACTGGAACATTGACCCATCTAGTTGACTAATAATCATAACCTATTCCTTCAACGAGTTAATCTCCTTGCACAAGATCCCTTCAAGTTATATTTTTGTTTATTAGGATTGATCATATTTTTTGTTATTAGGATTGGTCATTTCTGATATCTATCCTCCAGGGAAAACAGACATGATAATTCTCCATCAATTAGCTCAGGCAATAAGATGGTAATTTGGTTCATATAGAATGTTCATTGTCCTGGTAGCTGTCTAACTCGTCTTCCCCAAAACGAACAAGATCCTTTCATAAAAAAAGAATTTACTTGTGACTTGTATAGCTTATGAAGTTATGACTACCAAATTCCATTCAATGCATATGACGGCAATTCGTTCAATACCATCTCAAGTAGAAGTAAAATGATCTCTTTTAACAGTCAAAAGATTCAAGAATCAAAGATATCGTCATACTGGAATCGGGCCTGAAATAGATAATATCCTTCTCACGATCGTCTTCAATCCAAAGTCCAAACCCAAGATGCTAATATCGTCAAAAGCGTGCCTATTCTTTTTACCCCAAAGATGAATCATTCTCATTAACGAGAATATAAGTTGGTGCCTCCAAATGATTTTGGAACCGGCTTACAAGGACATTTAGTGTCGGTTGTCATACGTGCAGGAATCAACGAGGATCGTCCATGCTACATCATGAACATCACCCGAACACAATCGCAATAAGTTTCTCAGGAGGAAACGAAATAGGGTGAGGATCCCTGTAATGTGTTCTCAGTGTATACCCCACTAACGAAATTAAATGCATGACTATAAAACTACTAGAATAGAAAATGAATTACACCACGTCACCTCCACAGGTTTTATGGAACCAGTTTGCGCACGTTTAGCATTATGTTCCTGAGATTAGTCAGTAGGAAACAATACTTTGGTCAATTTATTCTTGAAACTTGAGATATCTGATATCCCTCTAAAATGGAATACAAGAGCACGCACAACATGGACCAAAGATTTAAAATTTCTTGTCAAGATCTTAGACATCAACATCATCTGGTTTCACAACATATTTGTTTTCCCTGTCACAAGCTGTTCATGAACCGCTACAAAACTGTAAAAAGACCATAAACGAGAAGGGAAGCCTGGGTAGAAGTTGGTCCAGTACAAAAAAAAACCCAAAACAGATCACTTAAAGCCCGACTACTTCTGACCCTCTTCAGCAACAGCTTCAAAGGTCTCACCAGCCACAAGATCTGGGACATCATCATCTTCTTGTGCAGCACCTGCCTCACCAGCTGGCATCTCCTTCTGAAACTGTTCTGCTATCTTCCTAAGGTTGTCCAAGTTATCTGGCCCTGAAAATTACAGCAGAATGATATCAATGACAGATCTTGCAAACTACAGAATTGATCACAAGGCATGGGTAGAGCATTTCAGAAAAATTGAAGTTAAATTACGAGTATTACTAGGGCAAATGCCTTCATTTGATTAAATAGATTTGTAGAAGAGTAATCAGATAACAAGCTACACCACATAACAAGTGAAAGAAAAGGGTATACAGGAACAAGCACAAACCACCACATGTGTGCTTATGTGCCCTTGTCAACAAAATAGACATGTCTGTTTTTTTAATTACCATTGACCAAATTTCCACAAGATTGCATTTTAGAATTTTAGGATTTTATTATATTACATGCCCATGAACATTTAGCAGAGTGAAAACTGAAATTAGTGGACAAGACAGCACGAGACAGTTTAGCATTATTAAAAGTTTACAAAAGAAATATATCCTCCCCAGAGGATTATCAATAGCAAGCAGGAAGTGCTTTCAAGAAATGCACTAATCCAACATTAGTTGAACAGTGTCTTCTTTAAGAAAACAAGCTGAGGACTTGGGCTCAGATAACACATTTTGAACATCAAATGCCTCACATGTCTAAACTCTACTTTTAAACTTGAGGCTTTGACAGCTCTACATAATTATTTCATTGTGCGTCAAGTTGAAAACTTCATCATCAGGGAGATTTTCATGGCAATTTAAGTTCAAGGTATTTTAAAGAAAGCTTGAGGGGAATCTGAAAGGTTTTCATAACAATTCATATATACGATAACATTTTTGCTTTTGGCACAATCAATCCAAACGCATGACACCAGCAAGCATACAGATAGAAAAAAACTAGATTAAAACAATACAAACAAAAATGAAAAGCAATTTGAGTTATTAACCCAAACATTTTTGCACATTTAAATATGAAAACAAGAAGACTGTATTGGACAAGAATGAACTGGTGCAATGTTTGAAGCTAAAGTGCCTGATGCTTGAAAAAGCTATGTACACAGAGAACAAGTGCAGGAGGTAAACACAATCACTGTGCAAGAAAAACTAAAATCTCATACTTAAAACAATTATACAACGGAAACTTCTTGATTCCCATTTTTGAAATATAAAAGCAAAAGAAAAGTATGACAAGTGACATGGAGACTATATGTAAAATCTACATACCAAGTTGGTCGATGATTCCTGGAAGAATATCTTGCAGTTCTGCAGCCACAACAAATTTAATTCGTGTTAGTTCTTGTCCGTCTCACTAACTCATTTACACAGGTATAAAAAACTTTTAAATAAAGATTGGAAAAAGACAGTAGCAACGTCAGGTCACAGTTAAACACCCACTTCATATCAACAATATCACAGGAAATAATGACATTTCGGTTGACTAAAACCAGTTTCAAATTCTTAACAGAACACCAGTACAAATAAGCTAGTACAATTGTTACTCAACCAAAGCAATGCATGCACTATTGCAAAACAGAAACCAATACAGTTGAAATAATCAACAAACAAAAATACACCTCAACGTAAAGATAGCATAAGAACTTACTTCTGGTTTGAGGAGTGCCAGAAATAACCCAAGTGTTAGCAGGAATAGAGGCTTGAACTTTAGGATTAACAAACTGAATAACCAAATCATCCTTGAAGATGTTCACTTCTTCAATAGCTGGAATTGTATTAACCCCAATTCTCTTCAAAGTACTTTGCAGCTTCTTGTCATCAGTTGTTGATGGCTTGTGCACTGCCTTCTTCTTTCTACACAAAGAAGACAAAAAGAAAACAGACTTTAAAAAATCCACAAAAGATAACACCTTTATGCAAATAATGCTCCAATACTTGCACAAACAAGCAAAAGAAGAAAAATCCATGATTTTGTTTTTTGAAAAATAAAGAAGCACCACATTTTAAAAACACAGATTAAAGCTTTATGCAAACAAATATCTAGCACCACCACAAATCAACCAAAAAACCTAAACTTCAATTCCTCAAAAGAACAAAAAGTTTGAATCCTTAGAAGTTTTACAGCAATACAGTACCTTCTCATGGTTCCCTTGCCACCGGTTCGAACAGAACCAGCCATCTTCATAAGCTTCTCTCTATTCATCTGTATATATTACACTACAAAGTCAGTCTCTTTGAAAAAAACCTAAAATCATTTGCTATTAAACCCTAGTTTATCATCAAAAGAACTGAAAGAAAGACAGAGAGAAGTAAATTTGCTAAGAGCTTAGAAGTTAACTTGTGAGATTAGATTTCTTGAAGAGATAAAAGAGAGAGGCAACTGTTAGCAGCAGCAGCGAGCAGAGCTAAAATGATGAAAGAACTGAAGGAGAGATTGGGGTTAGCATGATGGCCAGGGTTTCCTTACGCAATCCAAGGTACAATTCCTGTATTACCCTTCTCATTTTCTTCTTTTTTTTAGGACGATCAAACTCTACTTTTTTTTTTTTAAGTAAAAAATCTACTTGCGCTCTCTAAATTTTTAGGTTTTCTTTTTCCTGATTTAATTTTTATTTTAATAAGTGTTTAATATTGTCTTAATTTTATGATTATAATATAAATTTAATTTTTATTTTAATAAGTGTTTAATATTTTTTAATTTTATGATTATAATATAATTTTTTTAATTATAATTTTAATATATATATATATTAATTAAAACTAATATAAAATAATTTTTGTATGTAAAATAAAAAAATATTATTTTAACTTCTACAAAATCAAAAATTTAAATATAATTATGTGTGTGAGGTTTAGTAAGTGTTTGGCATTGAGATCTTTGATATTTTTAGTTTTAAATTAATTTTTTATATATATTTTTAAATTATTTGATGTATTGATATTAAAGATAAGTTTTAAAAATTAAAAAAATATTTTAATATTTTTTAAATAAAAATACTTCGAAAAATACATTTCTAAACAAGTATTAATACGGAAAGAAAAAAATATTTAATTAAATAAATGATTTTTTTCTCTAGCTAAGAAAACAAAAAAAAATTGCCTACAAAATACCAAACCATTCTAAATAAAATTATCAAGAGATTCTCAATTTTTTTAATCATTTGATGGGGACGCACATTTAAAATGTTCAATTATCGAGGAATTTTATTTTTATAATATTGAATTATATTTGAATTGAAGAGAATAATTTAGAAAGATAACCTATTTATTAAGCTAATAAATTATAAATTCTAATTATCCAATTAATAAAATTGTTGTTAGAAGTTGTAGATTATGGCAATGTTTTTTCGTTTATTATATACATTGAGTACTCGATATCTTGAAATATATAGGAAACAACACTTCTGGAAGTTAATCACTAGATTATTATTATTATTATTTTTATTTATATGAGATGTTGGGATTATTTTATACGTATTATAATTAATCCTTACTATTTAGCTACAATGCGTACCAATCACTAGATTTAGATTATTATTATTTTTATTTTTTTTTTTGATTTATGTGGGGTGTCCGGGCCAGCTTGCGCGCACCACGACTAATCCCCATGGCCCACTGAATATCCTGTAAACCCAGTAGGCATGTAAAACACTACGGGGGTGACATGCGTGCACACTAGGGTTTGAACCCAGATGCAGTGGAAGGAGACAAGCCCCTTCCACCACTAGACCAAGCCCTAGTTTGCTATCACTAGATTATTTCAATTCATGGGTGGTGTGTTAAAACTGGAGGAAATATTTTTTAAGAGAAGATCAGAGGAAGCATCGAATACTAAAGTAAGAGGTCGTTCATGTCTCGTTGTGTCTTGGTTTCCGGAAGCAATGAAAGGTTTAGGCCGTCTGAGATGAATAACGATCAACTTTTATGAAGATGATGAAGACAGATAGACATGTTGTCTGTATATTCTATTTTGAAAGAACAAAATTCACTTTAAAGGTGTCTCAAAAATAAATGTGAGCTAAACAATCAAAGACAGTGCCTTTAGCCTCACCATTTCTTAGCTACATGTGATATGTCAGCTTCCAAATATTTGAAAGCAAGCAAGAAAACCATCTCCCTCTTAGACCAAAAAGGCCTTACCATCTCACAATTGAAGCAAATTCAATCCCATCTCACTGTCACAGCCACCCTTAAAGATCCATATTCAGCAGCAAAAATTCTCTCTCTCCATGCACATTCCAATGCCAAAAGCTCTCTCTTTTATGCTGAAAGACTCTTTCTTTGCCTTCAAAACAAGTCCACCTTCATCTGGAACACCATGATGCAAGCTTTTGTAGAAAAAAATGAGCCCATGAGAGCCTTTTCTCTATATAAGCACATGTTAGAGAGCAATTACTTGCCTAATAACTTTACTTTCTCTTTTGTTATCAGGGCTTGTATTGATGTTTTTAATTTGCAAATGGGTTTATGTTTTCATGGCCAAGTCATTAAATTTGGATGGGAAAGTTATGATTTTGTGCAAAATGGATTGATTCATTTGTATGCAAATTGTGGGTTTATGGACTTGGCTAGGAACATGTTTGATATGAGTATAAAGAGGGATGTTGTTACTTGGACTTGTTTGATTAGTGGGTATTTAAATTCCGGTCAAGTCTTGATTGCTAGGGAGTTGTTTGATAGAATGCCTGAGAAGAATCCGGTTTCGTGGGGTGCCATGATCGGAGGGTATGTGCGAATTGGGTTTTTTCAGGAAGCTTTAGAGGTTTTCTATGATATGCAGGTTTCTGGGTTTAGGCTTAATCGTGCTAGCATTGTTGGTGCTCTTACGGCGTGTGCTTTCTTAGGGGCTTTGGATCAAGGAAGGTGGATATATGCTTATGTTAAGAGGCATCATATGTCATTGGATAGAATGCTTGGCACTGCGCTAATTGATATGTATGCAAAGTGTGGATGTATCGAGATGGCTTGTAGCGTGTTTGATGAGATGGATGATAGGGATGTCTATGCTTTTACTTGTTTGATTTCGGGTCTAGCTAATCATGATAAGAGTGAAGCTGCCATTGCTTTGTTTAACAGGATGCAGGATGAGGGAGTTGTGCCGAACGAGGTCACATTCGTATGTGTCCTAAATGCTTGTAGCCGTATGGGAATGGTGGATGAAGGGTTGGGAATATTCGAGAGCATGAGTAATAGATATGTCATTGAGCCACAAATCCAGCATTATGGCTGTTTGGTGGATCTTTTGGGGAGAGCTGGGAAGATAGAGGAAGCAAAGAAGGTGGTGAGAGAGATGCCACTGCACCCAGATTCATATACCTTGGGTGCATTGCTAGATGCATGTAGAGTACATGGTGATGTCCAGCTGGGTGAAGAAATGGTTGATACCTTGGCGCAGCGGTGTCTTGACCATGGTGGTGTACATGTTCTTCTTTCAAACATGTATGCCTCCGCTGACAAATGGGAGGATGTCTCAAAGGTAAGGAAGAAGATGGAAGATAAAAGCATAAGAAAGTTGCCAGGTTGTAGTTCAATTGAAGTGAATGGTACTGTTTGTGAATTTGTCAATGGAGATAGGTCCTGTACACTTAAGGAAGATATGATGTTCTTGCTGTTTGGAATTGACAAACACTTAAAGTCTCTTTTTCTTGATGATGATGAGCATTATAAGGTAACCATGGAACAAGTTCCCTCGTAGCCAAGAGTGATGCTTAGAGACTTCATATCATGCTCTTGCTGTTTGGAATTGACAAGCACCTAAAGTCTCTTTCTTTTGATGACGATGATGATCATGATAGTGTAACCCTGGAGCAAGTTTTCTCATAGCCATTAGCGGGTGTGGCACTAACTGTATTGTGATTGATATTGAAGCATTTTAGCCAAATATAAAACTAGGGTTATCAAGTTTTAAGCTTACAACTGATCTGTAGAGAAATTTAGATATAACTCTTTGATATTTGTTTATTGAATTTGAATTTGAATATTAATCTCTATAAAATAAATTCGACATTCATATTTATATTACTACTAAAATATTTATAGAATTTTTTTTATTTAAAATTTATATAATTAATATAATTTATCTAGCATTAGGATTACTAAATAGTAAAATATTAACTAAATTAAAAGTTATAAACTAAATAAAAAACAAATAATTAAAATCCAAAATTGACTAAAAAAATAATTAAAATAGAAAAACAATAACTTAATATTTCTCCAGAAACTTTTGGGATAATTATTCTACATCATTCTCTTCTATTTTAGAAAAACTCATCCTCAAGTTAGTTATTTATTCAAAATTAAACTCTTCCACTTTAAAAGAACAAATACTTAAAATATATTATTTACGAAATAACATGTCTTTGACATGTGAATTCTAAAACTTAATTTATGTGAATTCTAAAACTTAATTTATGATGTATGTATAATAATTTTTTTAAGTATAATGTTATATTTTTTTTTATTTCTATGAAGTTCACTTGAAATTCCTTACCATAGTTATCTACTTCAAACTTGAGTTTATCTAAATTAACACCAAAATAACATTTCATAATATCTTTACAAGACTTATAAAAAATTACCAAGTCCTCCGTGTCATTGCTTGCATGATCTTTGTCATCATATAAATCTTCATCTTCTTCGTCAAGTTTGCATAAAACATCTTTATCATTGAAAAGTTCTTTGCTTATACTAACATTCAACCACGTTGATTGATTTATATCTTTTGAGTTGTGATTGTTTGTCTACAGGGTCTCATTGTCTCCATGAAGTTCATCTTCTCCAACACCTTTTATATAGACAAGTGGTTGTCTAGATGAAATTTTAGAAATAAGACCAAGGTAAGGTTGATCCCAAGGTAAGTCTCCAAACATGTTCCTCTTTTTTTTTAGATTCTTGTTTGTGCTTCTCATTAGTCAAAATAGATCTTTTTTATCATATGAATACTCATAGTCATAATAACTATAAAGATTTACATGAACTAGTTCAATGAAAGGTTGGCCACAGGTGTTGTGATTTGAAAGTAAATGAGTAGGAAAAGGCTATAAAGCCCTCGAAGGTTTAGATGTATGAATAAATGAATGAACAGTATTCTAGTAATTGAACAAATAGTTGATAAATATAAATAAAAAAGAAAGAAAGAGAGATATGCAATTAAGAGTGAAAAACTAGGAGAAAACAATAAAAGGGAAGAAGAAGAAGAGAAAATAAAGAAATTAGAAGGGAAATAGAAAGGAGTTAGAGAAAATAAGTTTAAATGTAAGATTATATATAAATATATGTTCTTTAAGCTTTAAATTTATGTTTTAATAAATGTAAGGGTTTTAAAGATTGTGTTTTGGGTTTAATTGATGAATTAATTTGAATGTTATAGGGTTGATTGTTGTGGGTAATTGATTGTTTAGTTGATTTTAGGAAATTATAAGTAAAGATGATGATTTTGAATTATGATTTGTGTAAATGATGAATTTTGAGCTAGAAATCTAGAAAGAACAGTAGGTTTTCTGTTGAAATTTTGGATTTGAGGTTGAAGATGATAAAATTTTGGTTTGGTCTCTCAATTTGTGAAAATTATAGTTTAGTCCCCAAACTTTGAAAAAATTATAGATTGGTCCCTGAAGCATATTCTGAGATTCCGAATAGAATAAAATATGAATTATGGGTAGAATTCCAGTATAGTTATGAATTTTTAACACTTTCAATTTGATCCTCTAATTTGATAAAAAATAATATTTGACCCTAAAAATTTAGTAAAATTCCAGAATGGTCCCTAAAGTATAATGAGATATTCTGGACAGAATTGTCACGACCTGAATCCCAGGTCCATGACCGGCAACGCAGGAGCAGTGTCGAAAAGACACCCCACCTACGCTAAACCTCAAAACAGACATATCAAAAGAACAAGATATAAAAAAATACGCAGCATTTCATAATCTTCAGAAACATTATATTACTCAAAGCTGATGAAATCAAAGGATAGTTCAAAACTCTTCATTAGTAATTAAAACAAAAATAATAATTCATAAACTCATTATATTGTCAAAATCCAAACTTAATTAAAACAGAGTAATAGTAGAGCATTTAAGACATCGAATTAAAACAACCTCGAACAATAAGCAAGGCATACCGGTCCAAAACTGAAGAAGCAGGAACACTCAACAAAATCCAATTGCTATCAGAAACTAACCTGAAATAATATTAAGAATGAGAGGTGAGTTCAACCAACTCAGTGAGGGAATAATATTTAATATACATTTTAGATATTTTTCATATTAATAGTTTATCAAATGATTTATCTTATATACATATACATACTAAACATATTATCATAACATAGTGGAATAATATACATATACATATACATACTAAACATATTATCATAACATAATGGAATAA